TCCAAAATAAATACATAAGAGTCGTGTAACGTGATTCTTTTTGATAGGAATTACGCCACTTTCGTATCACTTAACACAAGCATTTAATTTCCTTCGTGCTACGATACATTACTTAAACCGCTTAACAATTTTGCGTAATTTTGTTTAAGCTTTCCAAAATGATAGCATTACCAAACGAATGCCTTTCTGAAATATTTAATAACTTTAGAAATAACAACATCAGAAATTACAGATTTTTATATTCATGTCTTCTTGTAAACCGTCAATGGTGTAAAACGTTGTTCCTATATTATGGAGTCAACCATTATCGCGTTTTGACGATAGAAGCCTTATGAGGATTTACCTTTTATCATTGACTGATGAAGAAAAGACACCATTAATTCCATTAAATATATCACTTCCAAATGGTCCAAAACCATTATTTGAATACAGTTCTTATACTATATTGATCAACTACTATTATTTAGTAAGAGGAGTCATAAACTGGCTTTGTGATGATGGTCATGAGTATAGATGCTGGTGAAATTAATTTCACCAATTTCACCAATTCACAACCAATTTCACCAATAGTGGTGAAACTATTTCACCACATTTCACCATATTTCACCAGCATCTATAGTCATGAGCTTCTAAGATACGATGAATCCAAAAATGAGATTCGAACAGTTATATATTCAATTATTAAAATGTTATTACGGACAAGTGAAAAAATTGAGGAGTGTTTTTTTAATAGTTTAGATATTGGGCATTTTTTTAATAGTAACAAATTAGACACTAATGATAATATAGTAAGGTTATTAATTAATTATAAAAACACCACTATTACCTTACTAGATCTTTCTTATATCAAACTTAGCTTTGAAGAAGTAAGAATACTAGCAGATTTTCTTTGTAAAAATACTTGCTTAACCTCATTAAGTCTTTATAATTGTGGGCTTGGTTCTGAGAAAGTAAAAATATTGGCAGAGACTCTTTATAAGGATACAACTCTATCATCTCTAAATCTTACCTTTAATGAATTTGGTTATGAAGG